GCTCCGTAGCGTGGCGCAGGGTCGGAGGAAAGTAGTTCGGCTGCTCATCCACTATTGGTCCAGACTCTATCAATCTTGTCGCGAAACGACGTTATAGGAGGTACGTTATACGAAAGTTGCTACAATTTTTTTGCTACGTTATAGGAATTGTCGTTATAGGAACGTACGTTATAGGGGGGTCGACTGTATTGCAATGATCTTTTTTCCCGATCTAAGCCTGGAGAAGACTGGTTACGGTGCTTAAATTGTTTCCGTTGGGCTCACGCTTCTTGCGCTGACGTTTCTAAAAGAGCCGAGCATTTCATTTGTGAACTTTGTCAGTAATTTTATAGTTTTTACGTGTATGTCATTTTGTCCTTACGTAATATGTCATTTTGTCCATAGTATATGGATAGTTTAATCGAGATCATCCAAAATGGATTTTGGATGATCTCGATTAAACTAACAATATTTTTTTTCTATTATCTTAATATTGTAAATGTTTAGTATATTTCATAGGTAAAGAACCAATAATTGGTGTAGAATATGGCGGTGCTGTGTTTTACTAATAAAGAGTTATGAACCTAAAACAAAACCGTATGTCATTTTGTCCGTATTTCCCTTACTCCTTTGCGATGGTTTGGCCTTGTGGTGCGTACTCACAATACACCACCCCACAAGAGTCGAAAAATCTGTCAACATGACTTGATATTGCCGCGGACCTGCCGCGCTTTTTTGGCCTCGAGGATCGTCCCCGAAAGCCTGCTGAATCTTGCGAATGGTTTACGCTTGGGTATCGCCAAGGTTTTTGGCAAAATTTGATGTAATATCGCTGCTCACGTTGTTCAGTCATTTTCCAACTTAGTGGAATCCGACGAGAGTTCACTACACGTTCTCACTCATAGGCCGACTGCCAGCGACTGACGCTTCCTGCAGGCGGGAAAAAATTCAGGGCTCTGCATGACTGTCTCCTCCACAACTCCACCGAAAGAGGCCTCCTGCGCATCATTGGTTTACGCGGAAAAAATAAAAGTCCGATACTTTTTGAACAGACATCGTATTTTAATTAAATGTAGAAATTGTTACAACATAATCCATATGTGAAATACCAAACTTTGTATAAAAGTGCAGAGTTTTGTCTTCTAACTTTTAACCATTTCTTTATCAGATTTTCTAGATTCTTATCCACTTCCTCCAGATTTTTAAATTCAGAATAACGTCTTCATATTCAAAGAATCTAGAGAAGTTATTAAACAATATGTACTGTGTTAGAGATCCGGGAATGATTAGAAAAAGAACAGCATTCTGTAAGTTCATCCAAGAGTAAGTAAGTAATATAAATCACTAAATTCACATGAAATGCAGTATAAAAATCAAAACTATACAAAGAAAAATAATAAAAAGAATCTGATTTTTATATCATTTTACAAATGTGTACCTC